AAATTAAAACTTGTGAGAGAGATTCTAATGTGATGTTTAATATACAATATCTATTTCAAAGAAAGGATGAATAAAGATAATTTATGTGAGGAATATGGGTCTCAATTAAGACGTCACAAAATAAATACTTCTCTGGGAACATTACCTTTTGTTTTTCAAGATTATACATGTATTTTCATAATTCTTAGCAAATAAAATTTCAAAATTTTAATCCAAGTTCTCCATTTTTCACTGTTTTTTTTTTAAATCTAATTTTTGATGAGACATCATACATAATCTTCTTAATACCACTATATAAATATTTTCTAATATTTTATCTCTGCTACTTTATCTTTAAATCACAATTTTGAAAATCTAGAGGGCCCTTAATTTATTACTTTATTTAAATTCTAAAATGTGATACTGAATGTGACATTTTCCCAACAGATGATGACACAAAAGAATTTGTTGATGAAAAAAGCAGTTATGAACCTTTGGAGACCGTGGAATTGGATACAGGTTTTCTCCCTATTACCGGTATAAAGGAAGATGTAACTGAGAAAGAACCATGGTGATCCTCAATGATATGGTTTAGTTTCGTGGTTTAAAATTGAAAAACCATGGGTGTTAACCCAAGTAGACATTGCAGGAAGTAATGTGAATGCCATTCAGTGAAAAGGGTAGCATATTGTTTGAAATGCTTTCTAGAAGTAGTAATGAAAATTTTGAAGTTCCTGAATTGTATTTTGTAACTATGGCACTTTAAACTTCCTAATATACTAGTATGTACTAGGCAAGAGTTTTTGTTACAACATTGAATAGTTTTAACATACAATAAAATCAAGTACAACAAAACATTGGAATTCTTGTAATAAGTTTTAACATCATGTTGAATTTTAAATGTTCTTGAAAATGTGTGCAATGACAAAACAATTATTCAGAGAGGAAGATTATTTTGGGGATTTTGGAGTTTTAATATATTAAATATGGAAGCCCTTTCATTTGTTCTGCAATTAATTTTCCTAGAACTAATCTCAAATGCATCATATGTCATCCAAGTCCTTTGAATTCGTGTTGATATATATATTGTACATTGCACATACTTGTACTTAAGTCAAATATTGCTTTATTGAAATATATACTTTTTTAAAATGTCAAAATGACTTTTCATATATATATTTTTTATAGTGTTTACGGATAAAAAACAAAAAAAAGTTTCACAAATATGTACCGCATTTCATGTACTAAAAAAGGAACGTTCCTTCAATGCTTTATGTATGCATAGAGAGAAACGTGCAATGTGTCATATGTAAACATGCAGTGTAAGATGTTTAAAGATATAGGAAAATTTGAGAGAGGAACGTTCCTCAAATGCATGATGTTTGATCATGCATGAGTTGTCTACAGATATGTGAATTTGAGAGAGGAACGTTCCTCAAATGCAAGTCTTAAGCTTCACAAGATATAGTACTCAACAGCAATGCAATCATTTGTGAGAGGAACGTTCCTCAAATGCCTGCTGTAATAATCTTTATGAATAAGGTATCAACAGATAGAAATCTGAGAGAGGAACGTTCCTCGCATGTGAATGTCTATAATTAAGATGTTTAGATATAGGTAAATTTCAGAGAGGAACGTTCCTCGAATGCCTTATGTTTGATCATTCATGAAGTGTATACAGATATGTGAACTTAAGAGAGGAACGTTCCTCAAATGCCGGATGTGTTAAGAATCATGAGGTATTTAAAAATACAAGTTTATAAGAGAGAGGAACGTTCCTCTCTCTGCCTGATGTGGTAAGATTCGTGGTTTTTAAAAATACGAGTTTATAAGAGAGAAGAACGTTCCTCAAATGCCTTATTGTAACAAATAACTTGAAATGTATAAAGAGGAATGTTCCTCAAAAACCTAAAAAATCACCAAAAAGTGAACTTGTAGAGACACATATAAGGTTTTTCAGACCAAAACGACTTCAGATTGTTAAGACTGGGTAAAAAAAGGAATTTTGATTCTCTCTTTTTGATTTGGATTGTGTTATATATATATATATATATATATATATATATATATATATATATATATATATATATATATATATATATATATATATATATATATATATATATATATATATATATATATATCGAGAGAGAGAGAGAGAAAAAAAGAAAAAGAGACAGATGGTGTAGGGGGATATCTATATTGTATGATTTTATATTTATTTTATATTTGCCTTATCCACTGAGCTGAAATGTATATTCGCGAGGATTGTCTCGACGATGGCAAATATGAATTCACACAAATTGAATTATAGAACAAAACTTCGAGATAACTCTTGTAAACCTGATGGGTTTTTTTATTAATTGAGTCTATTGTTAGTTCAAGCATAGCAAGAAAAGAAGAAAAAGGATATTTAATCCTTCAAAAAACAGTGAGCACAATTTTCATTTTGCAATGAAATAGATACGACTCAGTTAGAATTGCATGTATTTATCGGTTTAAACATTAAAATGATTTGCTTTTTAGTTTAGTAACAATTTTATATGTAAAGTTCATCATAAGTAACTTTTGAAAAGTAAAATATTTATTTTGTTGTGTTCCGTTCACAATTTTGTCTAATATAAATGACTTTGTAATTTTGTAAAGTATATTGTGTTCCGTTAACAATTTTGTCTAATATAAATAACTTTGTAATTTTGTCTAGTATATACAGATGCATGATGTCTTGCATGCTAGCACCAGCTTTTTGTTTTGTGTGATTAATTTTTATTAGTTCTAATTTAATTTTTGGATGCAGCATTCATTCTGAAAATGTTCATGTATTTATTAACAGGCATTTAGTTTGCACAGAATTAATATTGCTTTTTTCAACAATAACTTTTCAACGTAACATTTACTTGTGAGCCTTCAACTTTGAAGAAGTTTTTTTGTTTTTTACAATTACTCATCTGATATAAAATTTAAGAGGTAAAATAAAAAGAGTTTGCTTTACAAAATTTATTTGATTTTATTTCAATGGTAATCATAAGGTTATTGATAGGATTTTTTTCAACTGAAGATTCCTTACTGTGTAAGTATTGTTTTAATGTCATTATTATGATACAATGCATCTTTAGAATACTGATTTTAATTTTAAAGACTTTTTTGTAGCCGTTGAAAACATTTTTAATGCAGGAATCAAATTTAAAGGTACAGAATCGTTTTTTTTCCTTATTTATAATAAACTTGAATGTATTTTATACATCATGATATTGATCAGTGCTGTTCTCACATGTACTTTTTCGATGTATTCAGCCGTCTCGATTCACATGAGGTATGTATATATATTGTACTGTATTGTATGTTGTTTTACACTCCATTTAAGAATTCTTCACTCATATGGACGTCACCATTGTGGCAACGCACTCTGAAAAAATAATTCAAACTGCGTTGAAATTGAGACAAAATAAACACACTTTGATTTGTTTCAAAGTGCCTTAAGAGTGTACATCATTTTTTACTTGACGCTCTTTGAGAAAATGTGTATAAGAGAAAATGTGTATAAAACAAAAATTCTGGACTAAGATTTTCGTACTACTGATCATGTTATCTATATGGCCAGTTGTTTATCTGTTTATTATTCCGCCGAACTGCATAATCATTTTTCAAAATGTATCCACAATGATTCATCAAAAAAAGGCATTTACAGGCTATTTGAAATGTCTAGCTTTATATAATATCAAAAACAGATTTAAAAGTAATTTGACTGCATACATGTAACTTTTGTTTATACAATTTTTTGAGAAGAAAAGGCGAATGAGGTAAAAAATTCAGTCGAGTGAGAAATGTGGCTAAGGTTTATTTTTCTAAATCAATTAATGAGTCTGACTGCATGCATTTTGTTTATAGGGTTTCTTTGAGAAAAGCAATTAGGTAACGAGGTAAAATTTCAGTCAAGTGAGTATAAGGTTTATATTTTCTTAAAACATGTATCAAATAAATGAGTCATTTATTGTTTCATATATGTTCACAATAGAAAGATAAATGAATATGATTCAAAAATCAATTGAAAAATGATTGAAAAATAATAATTGCTCCCTTTTCCCTCACAAAAATACGATGCTTTAAGGTCAAGATCTTGTAAATGAAAGATGCCTACAGATTCTCCAAATTTAAGAAACGAATTTTTAAAATTTTTTAAATTATCCTTTAAAAATATAACTTGTTGAAATAAGGTGTTTCGGAATTTTTTTTTTTTTTTTTTTTTTTTTTTTTTTTTTTGATAAACTATACGAAAAATAATATTTTAAACTATAATGTTTAATGAAAATTTTCATCTAAGATAAAAGAAATATATCAATAGTGCCTACAGTCTCTCAAAAAACGGTTTTTCATTTCTTCCTTATATCTACTTAAAAATGATATTAAATTCAATGTAGATATTGGGGTTACTTTTGATATGATTTCAAATTGAATACAACGAAAATACTTCATTTTATGCATAATTTTATTACGGCCGTATAGAAAGGGAAAATAAAAGCTTAAATCTAGCACAAAAAAGATGGTCTCAAGTCATTTACTAGATCTTGACCTTAATATCGACTCCTACATCTACCAAACTTATTACAGACTGCGTAAAATAAATAAGAAACGACATTGTGCTATTATACAATCATTCCGTCATTGACGTATATATAAAAAAGGGGCGTACAAGGCGCTCTAATACTAAATATTTATAAATTTTCAAGATAAGTTCATAGAAAAATTATTATTTTTTATTTTTTTTTATTATTTTTTATTTTGTTGCAAGAACTGTCTTCTTTTAACAATTTTGATTCATTTTTTAAAATTACTTATTGACTGATATATTGTTTTTTTACGTAAACAGTTAAGCAAATTTTGCGGTAAATGTGTCTATTGAAACCATAAAAAGTGATGATTTAAAAAAAATATGTGAAAAATAGATTATTTTTAGTAAGGTTGTTCAATATGATAAAGGAACTAAGTTTGTAAATTAAAAGATGATATTGACAATAAAATTTTACTTTTTTTACCATTAATCAGCTTTCAAAAGTGAGAAATGTTTTTTTCTCAGAGCAGGAGGATGTCCTCGCCTTGTACGCCTCCATTCTTTCATGACATTTTTTTTTTCATTCATCTAGTCTCGAATCAAATGATCAATATCTGACAGCATGAAACAAGAGAAACACTTTAATTCCTCTTTTCAAAATGTGTCCAGCCTCAGCTTTTGTAAAAACAAATTCATGCACAAATCTAGGAAATTAGTGAGGAGCAGACTTGGTCGTTATCCCTTATTCTACCATTGACAAGGACTTAGAAACATATCAAGTATTTTAAAAACCTTTTTCTTGTTCCATTTTAACTAATGTTTGATTGGTTAAATTTACGAGGAGTTGTTTCAAATATATTTATTTTTGCCAAGGGTCTTTGCCTCTCTTCTCCGCTGAAATTTCATATTGTATAGAATCCTGAATGCAATCTAGAAATACTTGTACAAATATCAAGCATTAAATTTACTTTCAGCTTTGATGAGATTCAACCGCTTAAAATTGAGGTAAATCTACCCAGACATGCAGGATTGTACTTTAGAAGCCAAGAGACACATCTCAATAATCCTATTTGGCATTCAATCTACATGTACTTCTGTACCAGGTTTGTTCTTGACTTTATTAAATACCAATATGTTGTGAAAGTTTATATATATTGTAACTAGTAAATTTTCTTTCTTTGAAAGATTCAACTTCTTGATTTCAAAATTAAATTCTGTTAATAATGCTGTCAAGATATCCATTATTTAAAGCTGTACCTCTGAGTACTACCGGATCAGTGGTTAGATACAAAGTTTTATCCCAGACCAGACGTGAAAAGATATGGATGAGTACTACTGAATCAGTGATTGTATACAAAGTTTTATCCCAGACCAGGCGTGAAAAGATATGGATGAATACTACTGAATCAGTGATTGTATACAAAGTTTTATCTCAGACCAGGCGTGAAAAGATATGGATGAGTACCTGAATCAGTGATTAGATACAAAGTTTTATCCCAGACCAGACGTGAAAAAAAATGTGGATGCATGAGAACAAAACCAGTGTGTTTTCTATCCGCATCCTGTCGTCTATCAAGATCTAGTACCAGTGTTCTCATTTAAAATTTATTTCCTCTTATTGTATATATTTAATTACGTATTAATTTAATTATTGTTTCAATTATTAAATTTGTCTTCATTTTTAGTCTATATTTTGTAAATTTTATAATTTGAAGTGTTTTTTCAATATTGTATTTTCTGTAATCTTTGCTTTACTTGTCTGTAGTTCAACTAAATTGTATAACACGCTCCTTCACATATTTTTTAATTTCATTTTAGTCACCTTTAAACACGTACATTTGTAACATACAAACATTCGATTATCGCAACTGGAAGGCTTAAATATTTTTAGAAAAACGAGGGCTGTTCAAAAAAATTTACAGAAAGTGTTAAAATTTGTTATTGTATATTCAAGACAATCAAGATAAAACATAATTATATGTAAAAAAAAAAAATATATTGACTTTGATGGTGTGTTTCATTTTATAAATATTCAATGGAACTAATGTTACCAATTTCTAAGATGAATGTTTTGATACGAAGGAGCACATTTAACAACATTCCAACTTCAAAAACTCTCTCTTAAATAATTTATCTTTACATTTCAAAGAAGTCTGACATCATACCCACTTATCAAAAACTTTCTATACCACTTGTCTAATATCTGGTTTAGTATCATACATGTATTAAGTCCGTTTGTCAGTTTTTTTAATAGCGTAGCTCTCTGTAACAGTGAAGCGCCCATCTTGATACATTAATTGCACCTCTTTTGATCAAATTTTTACTGATACCCTTTTTGCTCATAGACCATTTATCGTCTGATAAAGAGTCTCTAGTCTCTACTATTATAAAAACGTCTTTGTCATATATAAACAATGCACGGCTTACTTTTAACATATTATTAGCTTTATCCTGCATTTTTGGAGTTAAGTCTTTTATATTTAATATTTATTTCTTATTCTATTTCCCAAGTGCAGGACAAAGTTGTATTGCTTGTTACTTTTCAGTGATGGCTACCCATCTTCTGAAATTCATTTCTCATTAACTAAGCAAACTTTCAACTCACAACTTAACATATCAATGTTGTAGCAAATTTCACTATAAACGTCTGAATATGTCTTCGTTTTTGAGCAATTTTACAGAGATGTGACTACTTATACCTATTAAGAAATTAATAAATAGTATTGTCTTTTAATTTGACCTGCTCCATGATTCCATTTTTACAGCTTTAAACTTTTAATGAGATTGAAACTTATCATGATATAAATTATTGGAATTTTTAAATTCAAACCATTCGAATTGAAAGTTATTTACAAAATTTGTTGACAATGTGACAAAAGCCTTCAGACTTTTCGAACAGCCCTCGTATGTACATTTCAATTGATATCTACAGATGACGAAAAGTTATGATTAACATATATCCTTGTCTCTATATTTTCATATACGCAGCTGCAGTTTAGCCATTCCATTTTATACAAATAAATTTCATTTTTAATTTTATAAATTTTTTTGATTAAATATATAATATATATAAAAGTTTTTAGTAGTCTCTGGATTGATATATTTGTTCACTGCTTCTACTGGAAGTGAAGGATGATAATTTAGGTCTGTCTGTCATTCTGTCTGTGTGTAACACTTTCCTTTCCGGACGATATTTCAAAAAGCCTTTAAGGTTTTTGAAATGATATTTTAATATATAATCTCTATGACGTTAAGTACGTCTCTATTGATCTTGAGGTCAAGTACTCAACGGTCGATGTCAAAAATTCATATATTGCAAAAAAAAAAGTTTCTAGATGATAACTTAAGATCTCGTTGAGCTTGTTCAATGACATATGATATCTTAACTTCCAGTGACATAAAAAGTACCTCCAATGATTTTGAGGTCAAAAGGTCAGAAGTCAAGGTCAGAAATTTATATATTGAATACATGTACTTAGTTTTCAGATGACATATTAGTTATAACCTTTGATAATGAAATTTAAAGGGGATGAATTTCTAAAAATTAAAAAAAGACAGACCCTTGTTGATATTAAGGCCAAAAACTAAAATATTCCAACCTCTTTTCATTTCCTTAAGGGAATACAAACTCTATAAATAAGCTTAATTAATTTCACCTTGATTATTTGAGAATATGTTGTTTCACGAGTAATGTTGAGAGATTTACAATTTTGTCATCTTCAGGAAGACTAATTATAACTGTACATACAGTTTATTGATAACATATATTAAACAACATTCTTTTAATACTAAAGGGACCAAAACAGATAAAATTTTGGAATGTAAAAGAAGATGTACAGTTCATTCAACTTCTAGTTGACGAAAAAAAATTATTTTCTCTCATGTTAAAGAGCAAATACCTGTTTGTAAAAACAATCTTACACATGATATTGGAGTTTAATCATAGCAGCCTTATGTCTTTCGCTATTGAATTATATTTCTTTTTATAAATCTAATGCCCATCAGATTCATAACACCTAGCTATTTTTAATGTTAATCTTCCGGTCAAAATATTTCTGTCTATCTTTCATAACATTGAAGTTTACACCAAACTATCTGCCAGACATGAAAAAGAAGACCTTGACACTTTTCAGAATGTATCAGATGTATGTTAAATTCTCGCATTAAGCGATTGCGGGCAATACGAAAACTATGTATCCCTCTGTGTTCAATAATACAGAAGTAAAAAGAAGACAGATATATTACATGATCAGTATGTACTGGTCCCAGCTGGCAAAGCTGTTAACAACACAGTCTTTGTTTGTAAGATGCAATATTTTAATTGTATTTCAAAAAAACTGTGATTAAGTGGTAATCCAACTTTTACCCATAGGTCTCTTTCTAAGTAGAACATTTTTCAAAATCCTATGTCAGTTTTTAATATTTTTAATATTCCGAACAACCAAAATGGATCTGATTTACCATACCTATATTGGATTCCGAAAATTTATAAAAATCCTTACAAAGAAAAGATACATAGCGGGTTCCAGTAAATGTTCTTCCAAGTTAAGTTTCTTTCTTTACCCCTCACTAAGATATCAACAGCAGCAAAGGAGAACCTTCAGAAGTACTGTGCAACAATATATTTGAGAAGTGGTGTAAGTCAGATGTTGATACTTAAAAATTCCATGGAACTTTTGGAAAATTTAAAACCACGAAATTTTACCGAAATCACTAGCATCAAAACGTACGAGTTTTCAAAATTTTATTCAACCATATTCCACGGTAAATTGAAGTCCAGACATTTGACATCATTGACAACGTCTGTTTTAGTAGATTGGAACTCGTAAAATTTATTTACCTTGTCATTGGTCATTTGCAAAATCATTTTGTTGAAAACATTCTGATTTTAGACACAATTACTCAGAGGATGACATTAAAAATATGCTTGAGTTTCTGATTGACAATATCCATGTGGTTTTGGGGGACCAGGTCTTCCAACAATCTGATGGAATTCCCATGGATACTAATCGCGCCCCGTTGGAGACCAGGACAAAAGGAAAATATAGGAACCTTTCGTAAAAAGCCAGATTTGATATCTTCGATGTAACAATAAAAGTACAGATGATACAGATTACCTTGTATGTAAATACTGATGCATAAATGAAAAAGAATGTGTAACACGTTGTAATCTTTATTTAAAGGGACTTTAATCATGTCAAAAGCATTTAACACCTTTGCATTTATATGAAACGACAAGCTTAAATTTCTTTTCAAGACTAAGAATCGAATTGACTCCAATATTTCCGAAAAATACAGACTAATATTTAAAAAAATTGAATGAACTTTAATAAGCTTCTTTTCCAGCTTATAACTACATAAGATACTGATTCAAACCGAAGCCGTATAACCTACGTTACATGAATAAAGTCGTTTAGTAAATTCTGTGGTCGTTTTAATGATCTTGTTAGCAAATTTAACCTATCATTCGGTCATATTTTGTCTGACGTTTTTCATATCCAATAGTTAGACCTTAAGTGTGTTTAATACTGAATTTGACTTCGGCATATCCCATCTACCTTTTCAATACATAGGGCTCACGCCGGGTGTGACCAGTCAACAGGTGATGCTTACTTCTTCTAGGCTCCTGATATCCCTTCTGGACTTCCAAAGGGGTCTGTTTAATGTCCTTTTCACAGATTTGCATTGTTTATTTTTTTTTTAAATCGATCACTGTTCGTTATCTACACCCTTTTCATTCTGATACATGAATGGCTTTTAAATTGAAGGTGAATGCTTCATCTCGGGTTATGGTAAAACCTACCGTCCAAAAGGAAAATTGTCAAGATATCATGATCCTTTTTTATCAGAACATCGAAATAATGAAGTTCTACAAGCATGGATTAATTTTACAAATCCAGTTACATCCTATAACATTTAAATGTTTTATAATTGACAAAGAGCCTGCTTTTGTTAGTAAATGACATTATGAGAATACAAAACACACAGTTACAAATTAAAATATTTGTAGAACTGGAATATTTAAACTTCTTTTACGTAAATTTATGAAATTAAGTACAAAAACTACATCTGCACAACATCAGTATACCTATTTTTTTTGCATATTGTAGCACAATTGGTATTAGATTTCACTTAAATAGAAAAAAAAATAAGGTCACAGAAGACAAGTCAAATTTATCTCTATCCTAGGTGGCATCTTTTAGCTCGTTTCGACGACTTGTTCTTTTCTTCTTTTTCTCAAAAGAACACATATTCATATATGGAACAAAAAATTATGTAACTTTAAATACAGCCTAGAAAAAATGATTAAATCTGAGCTAACAAGGGTATAGCATTTCAATTCAGTGTCCTTAAAATGCAACAAAGTATCTTAAAAAATAAATCTTGTCTGAAACGCAAACAGTAGTTTTAGTTTCTCCCAAAGTACTTATATATGTAAGGGCTATCTGACTGGGCATTGTGGCCCCTTCCATCGCTTTGGGAGGTTAAACTACAGTGCTGAAATTAAAAAGGAAGGTAAAAATGGAAATCGCTAGCTAAAATTTCCATTCCATTCATTGAATAAATTAAAGCAATGTCTCGAGCCATTTTGAGATTAAACATTTTTAATAAGAAAAAATGTTATTTCCATGAGAAATTGAAAGATTTCCACAAAGATTTAGTGATTAACCATGTAAGTGGACGTTGCATGATAAAAAAATATATAGCAAATAATTTAATAAAGTAATATAGGCGAGCATTTATTTTGTTTTCGATCCCAAAAAATAAGTAGAATTAAATAAGCCTGCTAATAAATGATTATTATGCTCTGAAATACGGACTTCTGGGTAGAAATAATGCATACTAAGCCAACACCTTTTAAAAGAAGTTAAAAACAAATGAAGGCCAAAGTCTATATTTATTTATCAATCCCAATATGTTACCAAGTCAGCACTCCTTTAATTATTATAAAAAGAAAGATAACTGTCACAAAATTTTCCCCACAGGGTGAATATATCATATGTACTCTTTGAAAAAAAAAAATTGAAGAAGACAGCTGGATAAAACACATTTTTTCCTTCATGGGACAATATACACGAAATGCACATATTGTGAACGTTTCTAAATCTTGACAACTGTAGCCCAATAAAAATTGTTGTGTTCTTCTTTTGTCCATTTTCCCCTCTAGATGAAGAAAAAAAGATTGTTAAAGGTAAAACCCTCTTAGCCGTGAAAATTTTACATACCTCAGAGTTTTATTAGGAAAAAAAACTGTAGAAACAATTCATTTGTAAAATTCACATTTTTATTATTCGATTATTGCACATAGTGGACATAAAAAAGAAATAACAAAAAAGTTTAAAATCCTGGTTGAGCTCATTGACTAATGAAATATATGGAGATAACGAACAGTATTCAAGCTCGAAAGTCCATTAATCAATACAAAATAGGAGCAGAGCAAACACGGACCTCCAAACATCAGAGGTGGAATCAGGTACCATGGAGGAGTGAGCATCCCCTGCCGACCGGTCACAACCGCCGTGTGCTCCTTGTCATGATCGGGAAATAACGGGAAAATTCGTCGACAATTCGGTGTGTAAACAGTGGCCTAACAATTAGTATGAAAAACGTCAGTCAGCATTTGACTCAATGATAAATTGTATTTGCTGACAAGGTCATTGTATCGACCATAGAACTTACGAAATGATGACTTTAAACGAGACAGCTGATATTCTTGTTTCATCAACTTATTTGTCAATAATTTACCTCGTTTTAGAAATTGTACATACGTAGAGCATGCTCTTGTGTATCGAATCAACTGAGAGATATATACCACGTATGCAGGTGATGAAGGTATATTGCTGCATAAGTAAGGGAAATTGACGATTGAAAAGTTAAAGTCATCACGTTTATCATAAAACTTGGTTGTTAGATTACCATTAACGTCTTTTTCAAGTAAAATATCCAAATATGAAACAGAAGTGTCAGACTCTGTGGTATCTTTTATCTCAAGTTCACAA